TACACGAAATTCAATACAAACAAACTTTCTAAGTGTTTTCACAATGGTGATAATGAAGGTTTGTTTTCATGAACTTTCCTATTATTTTGATGTTCATATAGATGAGCTGGACACTGACAAAGATGAGCTGGACACTGACAAAGATGAACTGGATACTGTCAAAGATGATCTGGATAAAAGAAACAAGGATCATGATAACCAAACAGTAACAAGATGAAAATTTATAGCTTTAGATATTGCATAGTTTTGTAACACCCATATACAGCAATACATACAGATACTGTTACACTGTATTAATCTTATTAAGTGATCAGTCAAAAGTTTTATTGGATTAACTGTGCATGGTTTAATTTTGTAGCATTAAGTAATTGTTGCTTTATTTTGATAGTTTATATAAAGAAAAATATACTGTAAATTTACATGATTTTGAAAAATGTTCATTTAATATTCATGATTGATATTTATACATTTGATCTACTTTTTTAATAAGTAGTGTTAATGTGTATATTTTACAGCTGTTATATCACAGATACGTGAGGCAAACCAAAGGATTACAACATCATAGATAAACATATCTTAGTTGAAGTTTTAGTTGTTGCAAATTTTTCAGGAATGAAATTTTTTGTACATATATACCATGTAAATATTAATTCTATATTGTAGTTTTCTCAAAATTAACATTTAAAGCTATGATACATTCCAAGTTTTTGGTACACAATTTTGTTTTTTATAAGATGCATCTGTTCTTAACTTATGATCATTGAAATGGTGCACAAGTAAAACTAAAATGATCAAGCTTTAATATGATTATGTTCTTTTAGCATAAGCTATGGAAAAACCTAAATAGGTTTTGAAGACATATTTCAGTACACTTTGTGTTGATTTTTATGTTTGTTATAACTTGGTTAATAACATACAAAGTTGTTAAAAATAACTTCAGAAAAGGCTATGTGGGGAAAACTGTAGAAATTAATCAAAACATAATTTATTATAAGCTTGTTAAGTATAATCATTTGACATTGGGTCCAATAAAGAATAGTAATAAAGTGTTTTGGATATGTACATTCATTTTGTGCTCCTGTTTCACTCTGGCAGTGATTAAATTACAAGTGTACATGTTGTGAACATATTTATATTCTAGGAAATACACTTCATAAGTATTCTCTACTGCTCTTACTCTCTTGTATATACACATAAACAGATCTCCGATACTAGACATCAGTCTGAATCAAATACAAGATAAAGGACTATTTCTGCTATGGAAAACCTGCAAGAATGGTAACCATTGTTAGCAAAACATTAACATTGTTTCTCTTGCTGTGTCTCCTTCTGTTATGTTCATAGGTTGTTTTGTAATTGAAATAAAACCAACTATTCATAGCATAAATAGTATGACATTCTTAGTCATAAATTACTAAACACTATTAAATGTAGGTTGAGTAGGCTTGATCCATTGATACACGTTTTTATAAGGATACATTTATTTTTGATATCTAAACCACAATACTCTTGTTTCAGTTGAGTTAACTGCAGTGAATGACCAGTAATATGCCAACATCATTTAATACTTCTAAAATTTCAACATGGTTAAAGCTAAGAAAAAAGTTTATAATCAAGCAGTGAAAATTGAGCTCAAGATATTGCTTTACATGATAGGAAAAAAAGGTGCAGTTCAAGACACGTTTGAGTACTTTGTTGCAGTAAGTAGGAGCTTAAAGAGTAATATGATATGTGCATGGAATTTGAACAGGTAGTTATAGAATTAATTAAAGAGATTTGTCTATAAGCAAAACTTTCAGCCACAAAGATCACTATCTGTTTGAAGAATGAACGATACAATGAGCTATAGGTCGATAAAACAAAGGTTGAGCTTTTGGAAATTGTAACTTTAGGAGATTTACTGTGTGGATTTTGATTATTAGAAGTTTTAAGTAGAGTGTATGAGTGAAGCAGTGGGTCTGTAATAGTGGGGGAAATGATTTTCTGCTGAATATTGTCAAAATTAGTGGATTTTGAATGGGTTATCACACATTACCCAGTACACAATGTTAAATTGATTATAACTTTGGATTTCAATAGGATAATGATCCAAAACAATCTTTTCAACTAATTAATCTACTATTCAAATGATAATAAGAAGAGTCGTATATACTTTTTTCAACCACTAGGGCTATGGACTGCAATCATCAGGGGTTCTAATCTGTAAAAACTCAACAGAAACTAGTAAATCTGGATAAGGCACCAAACAGCATGCTTTTGTTTAGCTTTTACTGTTTAAAAATTATACTTATGAATGTCACTGTTTTTTAACCTTATGTCCTTATGTATATCAAGATTTGTATTAGTACAGCTGAAATGCAATATTAAATGATAACTTATTTTTTACAGAATGTCTGAGTTATGAGATGTTCAGACAGATTAAGACATTAGTTAGAGAAAAAAATCAAAATGAATGCTACTTAAAGCTTCTAACTACTAATAATATGTAATGTGCCTATTTAAAAATGTCACTGTTTAAGCTTCTGTATGTTCTGTTCCTATTATTTGAACAAAATAGCATTCACATGCAACAATAAAACATTATACATAAAGGGAGAGAGAACCAGAAACTGGTGTTACACGGTGTTTTTAAATAACAATGATGTCACTGAATAAGAACGATTCTATTCACTCAGTGGTTTATGAGCCAACAATTGGTATAAATAGTTTCAACTAGTACTTTGCATGTTGTAACTCCACTAGCCTGGTGAACTGTGGTATTGAGCATATGACGTTGTTGGCAGTGATGTCCTGCTCGGATTAATATCAAAGACATATAATTGGAAGACATTTCCTACAAGGATAGGTATCACATACAACTAACTGGAAAGTATGTCGTAATTTATCTGCACCACAGACAATTAAAGATATGATTGGGTCTTACATTTTTGTGTGATGATGTCATCATGCATTGCTAACACACAATGTTTTTTTTTTTTGACAGTAGGCAACGCAAACCACGGCAATCTTAGCTCCACAGTCCAACGTGCTAACGACAGGGCTGCATTGGGTCCGAGTATATTAATAACATATTTTGCACTTTTTAAATTAATTATCGTTTCATGGGGATGTTTTTTTTCGGGCATAGTAATTTTAAGCATTATATGTTGCAATTCCTTCCTGAAGAACCTAACAAAACTGCAACCACGTGCTTTCTATTTTTATTTTAGTTTTTCAGAGAAAGATAGGATCGTAAGTGTATTTTCTGAACTTTTACTCTGCAAGACTTGAGGAGTTCACAACGTATAGCCCAAGTGGAAATCACGATACAACTTTTTTGTTTATCAACGTTTAACAATAGTTTATGATGATAGAAATGGCCGTTTATAACAATAATCACTTCAATCCACTATCTCTGACAAAATTCTTACCTCGCTCTTTATGGTCCTCTAGTGAGTCAGTGGTAAGTTAGAATCCGGTGTACGATTCCAGCAGTGGACAAAGCGCAGTCGATATTAGGGACGACGAAATATGTTTAATAAATGCTACATATATAGCAAATCGAAAATATTGATAATATTATTCCACAAGCTCTCAAACGACTGTTATTTCTTATGAAAACCTAGAACATTTATTAAATAAGAGATGAATGAGTTACAGCAACTGATATTCCAGGATTGGTTGACTCTCAAACTGCCGATTTGTTAATATATCGTTCACTCCAGGTGGAGATACATATATTGAGTAGTTTTATGTTTTTTCCTCTTTCAGCATTCATTAAAGACCTGTGTGAAATCACTCAATTTCTCTGTAAGATTGATAAATAGGAGATATCAGAAGTAATTAGTGGAATTAATCGCAATATCGATGGCATTTTTGTTTAGAGGTTTTTTGCGTTGCTCATAAAAAACCATGTAACTAACAGAGTCGTGAATCCATAAACAATTTGTTGCATAAATAGTTTAGGGTGTGTATATGTGAAACCGATGTGATCTGGCCCCATCAATAATTGTACGGTTAAGACCTAATTTTCAAGTAAGTTACAACTTCTAAGTGAGCATGGCCAGGCAGTTAGGGCGCTTGACTTGCAATCTGAGGGTCGCGGGTTCGAATTCCCCGTCCCACCAAATATGCTCGCCCTTTCAGCCGTGGGGGTGTTATAACGTGACGGTCAATACCACTATTCTTTAGTAAAAGAATTGATTAACTGCTTTCCCCCTAGTATCTCATTGCTAAAGTAAGGATGGCTAGCGCAGATAGCCCTCGTGTAGCTTTGCGCGAAGTTCAAACCAAACAAATTAAGTGAGCATTTAATGTAATATATCATGCTAGTGTTTCTGATCCATGAGTTAATAAACTCGTTTAATATCAATTGAAAATGACTTTCAGCCCTGGCTTTAGTTCATTAATTTTTTTTTGCATACACGAACACTTCTTTCATTGTGTCCAAAGAAGTCTGCGTACAAGTGAGACTCTTAACAATGAGAACGAGGCTGAATAAGAGAATAACCGGTAACTTTTTCTAGGACGTTACACTACCTTTAAGGATAACATTATGTTTGTTTTAAGTCATGAAAACCTAATATTAAAGTACTTTTATTTATATTTGTAGTTTACTACGAAACACTACTTGTATTGTTTGCTTCATTTAGAGCAAAGCCACATTGGACTGTATGCTTTTCCACTGGGGGGGGGGGGAACCCACGTTTTGGCGTTGCAAGTACGTGAACTTATCGATGTCCCACCGGGGGACCCACAACTTATATATTAGACGGAACTGTAACATCATCATCTGTATACGCTCGTGCAGTCAACAGCTCTTGTGAATATTTTGGCTGACATTTTATGTGCTACATTTCATATGATATACAATTTATACTAGCAAATAATATCTGAAGGAAATTTAAATCTAAAGTGCCGATTCTTGAGCTGAGGTGTTCTATCACAACTATCACATGTTGAGTGATGCTACCAAGAATGAGTGGAATCGAGCTTCTCCATTTGTGATGAAAGAGATTGTAGTTACTGGTTGAAGTGGTGGTTTACATGATAGTGACTCATACAAATTGAGATAAAGTAGGATTTCAGCAGAACCTGTATCAACTGAAAACTTCACCTCACATTCGTGTAATTTTATATGTATGTATGAAGCCTTAGTTGGCCCTATGAAAGTTGTATCAACCACCTCGCCTGAAGAAATAAACAGACAGCTGTTTTTATTTTTTCCAGATTAGTGGCCAGATATGATCGGAGGCTCACTGGTTTAAATTAACAGATCTGCCAGTGTATATTACAAGTTTTCTTCCTTGAGCCTGTTGTTGTTTATTTGGCATATTCTGAGGAGATTTGGGTTCCTGTGCAAGCACAGAAAAAGGACAACAACACCAGGAATGTCTGACTTGCCCATAACTATAATATGTATTTATTCTGTGATTTACATTGATTAATACGCCTCTCTATTTGCATTACTGGCATAGCAAATGCTATCCCTACTATTTTGTTTGCATTGTTTTTGAAGGATTGATATTAGCCATTCCCAAAGTTGTTCTTTAACTTGTGAACTTTTAATTCCAACAAATATAGGGATAGATTTTTTATTGTGTCGAAATGCTGATGCAACTCTGCAACAGTGGCCTCCCAGCTGTAGAGTTTATCAGGCTCCTACTACTGGACCATCCAAAGTAAGCAGCAGACACCACGTCAGTTATACGTAGATCTAGGAATTCCATGCAGAAAGACTACTCAAGGAAGTTATGTAAATCTTCCTTTGCTGACCCCTTGAAAGATGGAGGTGTAATATGTTTCATCTCACTGCTCCCTGCATGTTGTAACAAGGACGACTTGGCATCATTTACGTTTTTCTGTTGAAATGACTTTGGGACTGGTATTAGTATAAGCATTTGCTTCTCTTCTACTTTAGGAATTCTTACATTCTACATAATTTTCAATTCTGCTTGTGCTTGCTCAAGCGATACCAATGATATTTCTATTCACAAGTTTAGGTTGGTACAAAGTGTCAGTAGTCTTCTTCTCATAGCGAGAAGACTCGTGGCATATCCAGGGTGCATTAAATGTGGGTTGTAATGGCAAATCACATGCTTACTGTTACTGTTGCCACGCCTCTGGAAGGCAGGTAGTGGAAGATTAGCAACTTGGTATGCCCATTGTAGATCATATCTGGCTGTTCT